GGGGGGGGGCGGCCAGAGCGCCGGGGGGAGGGCGGCGAGCCCGGCTGTGGCCCCGCTCTCCCCGGCGGCCGGAGCGCCCCGCCGCCCCCCTCCAGGTGCCGCCCCAAGCACCAGCTTGGGTGCCTGGTGCCTGGAGCCGGCCCTGGGAGCGCGCCAAGCCCGCAGGGCGGGAAGGGTGCTGGCCCCGCGGTCTGAGCAGCGGAGCTGGCCCGCTCCCGGGGGCGGCTGGCTGGGCCTGGGGCAGGCGGGGCCACCCCCTCACCAGCCAGCTCTGCCCGGCGCCCTTCCGTGGGCTCGGCGAGCTGACCCTCACCCAGCCCGGCGCCCCGCAGAGAGGTGCCGAGAGTGAGCCCGCCCCACTCCGCCAGCTGCCTCTCAGCGCCCGGCCACAGGCGGGACTGTGCAGCCCCTGGTCTCCCGCCGCCGGTGCGCCCCGCGGCTTCCTGCCGGTAGGGGGCGGCAGGGCGCTACCGGCTGGAGGGGAGGAGCGAGGCCCGGGGCTGGCTAGAGAATAGACAGGGGAGGGGAGGTCACACCAGGAAAGGGGCAGGAGGGGGAGCCTCGGAAGGGGGCTTGGGGAGTACGGCGAGAGGCCAGGGGAGAGAGGCAGAGACTAGCCGGGGCTGCAGGGCAGGAGCGAGCGGGAAAGGAGGAGCTGGGCAGAGGCAGGGGCGGGGAACAGACTGGGCAGGACCAGAGCCGAGGCTTAGGACCGCAAGGCCGGAGGTGGCGGGCGAGGTGACCTCAGTTGAAGGGGTGGAGACTGGCTTGGCCAGGAGGGAAGAGGTGCGGGGGCTGGAGGGGTCAGAGGCGGACCCAGGAGGGCAAGAGAGGAGAGAGTGACAGCCTGGAAAAAACCCCTCTGACACTTCAAGCAGCCGAAGGCAACTAAGGGCTAGAATAAGATGGAGCTTGACAGCAAGATCATGGCCAAAGGGAGCCAGGGGCAGAAAAGCACCTACTCCGGGAACATGGCAGCCCTCCCCAATCAGTGCCCAGGCGGCTGAGAAAACAGCAGTGGGGGGGAGGAATAGCTCAAGTGGATGAGGGAGCTCTGCACTCCTGGGCTATTTCTAGCTTATGGATTTGGTTAGATGGAGAATTTCGTTAACTGCCCCCCTGGGTGATTTTTTTTTAAGTTCAAACCCTATCAGATTGTCCCCTAACAATTGTTTGCTAATCCAACGTAGATTCAGAGAGAAAATGGGATTTTGTGTTGCTGGCATTAATGGGTTATTTCTTCATTAAACTAAATTTCTGATGAATCCGCTTTTTGTCCTGACATCTCAGCAAAAGACAACCCGCCCCTCAAACTCAAGCCTCACACAAACGAACTGTTTTTCAGCGGGTTTTTGCATTTTGTGTGCCCCCCGCCCATTCTTTCCAGTTGCAGAATAATCACAGTAATGACTCTAATGTTCATGCCTCAGAGCCCAGGCAGCCCTTTCAGGGTAAAAGCTATTCCCCGCGTTACTGTGCCTGCCAAGCTTTTTTCCTGACTATTCCCCCCTCTTTGTCTCCGGTGATTATGTCATCGAGCTTCCCCCCCTTTCTTTCGGTAGTTGATTGTCTGAATTGTCTAGGCAAAGCTATAAAACGATTCTCCATCCACCTGCACCAGATCTGCTTCCCACTCACACCTCAATAACTCAAGGCAAATTCGGAGCAATTAGGGATACAGAGCGCTGAAAAGCTACAATTAGCATCCAAATTTCAGTTGATTATAGGCTTCAATGTAAGCAAAAAGGAAGCTATAGCATTAGCAATATAAAATGCAAGGCTGGAACACACTTCACACACCGGGGGCTAGTTTCATCCTCTAACCAATTCAGTCCCCTCCACCTCTTAAAAAAAATCTAGATTTTCTAGTTTATTTTCTAAATCTCCCAAAATGTGTCTGTAAAACCAAACACTACTGAAGCTGAGGCTTTTCGGCATCCTTAGAAAATTAGTGAAAAATCTAAGGACCAGCCTCTGATTTTAAAACATCAGAAAGATGGAATATTTCTATAATGCATTTTCCACACCTAGTTTAAAGGCATGGAACAAGGATTTTCAGCTTTGTCGTTTTGTGGCGAATTTGGTCTCACGGAGTGCCATGCTAAAATGATAAAGCATTCAAAAGGTTTAAAACGAGGAGAAAGACTAAAACCTACTTGTGGGTCGTAAATTAGTGGGGTTGGAGTCCTGATTGGCGTTGGAGGAGGATGGAGCAGAGGATGCCATCACTTCAGAAAGTCAAAGTCCTTTGGTCCCGTATTTTCCGCCAATATTTCTCTGGTGGATGGACAGTAAAGAATTTACTGGAAGGAAAGAAAAGGCGGCTTTAGAGATCTGGTCTCCTGGAAGGATGAAACGCGAGTCCTGTTTAGATTAACTAGTCAGGGTGGGATTCTGCAGCCAATAATAAGCAATTAAACTCCTCGCGAAGTGTCTGGGAAAGCCTGCACAAAGGGTTGCATCTCGAGTAGAAGAGTCCTTATCACGACGTTTCTTAGCCAGGCAAAAATATTCACAAACAAAGCGATGAAAAGGAAAGATCAGGGAGGGCACGCCGTGGACACTTATTTAGTTTTAAGACAGCTAACATGGAAACATGGCAATTAGAAATTGCTTCGATAGGCTGAAGAGCTAAATCGTTTCTTTGCTGGATGTTGAAGCGCTATATCCTGTGCGGAATGATGGATTTAGCAGACCATGAAGTCTATCGCAATTATATCAATGGCCACTGAAGAGGGCAATTATGGCTTATGTCAAATTGAAACCAACTTATAAAACAGGCTTTTAAATTACCAGTCAAAATGACCTACAATCTCAACAGAATTCTTGCTGCGATTCTGTGTTTTAACATCTAATCCCTGAAATATTCATCAGACTAAATACAAAAATATTCAGGAAGGATTGATATATACATCTTCAGATCTGCCTCCGGTAACAAAGGCACATTTTTTGCCTTTGTACGGGTATGTGTGTTATATGCATGTATTCATGTGTGTGCATAGATGCACGTTCAAACGTACGTACGACTGAACCATGACATTCACATTTAAGCTTTGGCTTAATTTTATATGTGCTATACAGGGGTAGGTAGCTGAATAAGGTGATCATAGTAAGATCCACCTTTTATGGACTAACCCTTGTTCCCAGCCAGCTGTTAAGTTCTTTACAGACGGACATTGCATTCCAATAACCAGTTTTGGTTCGCTGATCGAGAACCTCAGGATCAATAGCTCGCTTATCTGATGGTCCCCACCCATGGCTGGGTCTGATTTATTTTATCCAGAAAATTCAAGAAAGATAATCATGGTCCAGTAAATTAAGAAGCCCCTCCCGTCCCCCCAAGCCAATAATACTCGTTATTCATTTTCAGTGCGCGGATTAAAACCAGCGTAAATACAACGGGTCAGTGATTTCAATGGTAAACGGGTACATTATTATTTAAAAAAAAAAAAAAACACAACCAGCCAAGCTATACATAGAAATCCTAAAGCAGAGGGACTCACTTGGACAATGCCTGGAAGTGAAGTAACAGGTTAGCCCAACAGTCTACCGCACCGGCTGTCTCAAAATACCCATTATTTCTCCCTGGGCAGGGCAGCCACACAAAAATGGTTTTGTGAAAAGCGCCCCATTCCGAAAGAGCCTGCTGAAAGCTTGAACAATATAATCTAGTGAGGAGAGTTTAAAGGAGACTTACCGCGGAGGAGAGCGAGCGAACCCACACTTACTCCAAGTGTCCAAAAAGCCAGGGGAATTCTAACCTTGGGAGGGAGTCGCCGTTTATAAACTCCGCGAGAAACGACGTCGGAATACCAATCGCGCCTCGGAATTTAATTCGAGATGACCTTTTGCCACAAGTACTTGGATTTGCTTTTTTAAAGCCTGAATCGCCGGTTGGTCTGCTCCGACGCAGGCATGAGTCACACCGCTGCCACCACCTCCTCTTCTCCAATATGGAAGGCAAGCAGGCAGGCAGGCGGGGGGGTCGACCAGGTCAGTTTGCTGGGTTGGAAATCACGCGGCCAAGTGTTGCCTTCCCAGGCTAACGTGACTTATTGGCAGGTGTTTTGGTCGCCTCGGGGCTTTATAGCTCGCTTGTGAATCCAGATCACGAAGATGCACCCAGAAAGGCTGAACCTATGAGTAATACAGTACGTACTCAGCACGCTCCGTTTTCAGAGAGGGGCAGGGGGGCTAGTAGGAAAGACACTTCCGCTCGGGGATGTACATCTTTTAAAAATACCGATTGAGTTCTTTCCGAGCCGGAGAGGATTATTTCAAACACACCAAAAACGTTCATGATATAAACACGAAGCAGTCGTGACTGCCAACAAACAGCCGATTTAAAAAAAAATCTATTTAAAAGAAAGCTATTTGATCTCAACTTTAGCTTCCTTTCAGTCTCTTTTGTTCTAACTCATATCACACTGTACTACCCTATAACACATGCTATCTCAGGAATAATTTCAGGCAGTGTCTTTGTTAAGTGGCGCTCTCTTCACTATGATCAGAATTTTATACCCCATTCATTTTTTTTCTCTTTACGAACCCCCCAAGCTAGGAGTAATTATTTTTGTGAGTCTCCACCAGAGGGCGTCAAAGATCCAGACGGACGAATCTTTTGGTCTTTACCATGGCTACAAGGAACACCTGTTTTTTTATGACTTAGTTTAAATGTTTTCATTAGATCCAGGACTTACCACCGACATCCTTTTGCTAAAAATAGATACAGTCAGAAAGCCTTTTGTTTTTAGCCTCTAAAACTCAGAAGAGCATTATATTTTAAAGGAGATGTTTTGCTAGCAATTTCCAATGACGATTGTAGCGTTAGGTTACAAATTGTTGAAGTAACTAGACATATGAATAGATACGAATGACTCTAAAGAAGACAGGTACATGATTTGCAGGAATGTGCAATGACTGAAAAAGAAACGTCTTATGGAGGTCAAATGAGCGTTCGTCAGTCAGAAATGTTAGCAGCGTAAAAGGTTCAGACGTGTCCTTTCTGAAGGACTTGGTGGTTGGAAGAAGGGAAAAAAACACCTTAAAATCGCCGATTTGGAGAGCAAAACTACCGAATGACAGCACTAAATGCCCAGAAGGATCGCTCCGCCGTGAAGACGCGCTGCCTAGGAAATGAACACACAACTGAAATATTCGGAACCAAAAAACATCTTTGAAATGATCTAATAGCTCCAGCTATTCTCGGGAAAACTATTCAAATGATGTTTCAACTAATGAGACAGAACGTTTGCTCATTACAGAGAATGAGACAGAATAATGTAATGATAGTTAATTGTCTATATAATTGTAAATAAATATATTTGCTTATAGGAAATTAATACAAAATATAGAAATGGGTGCATTTGCTCTTCTAGATCGTGAAACTTTTCAAGCTGTGTCTTCGAGTAAAATAGAATATCTATTCATCTACTCTCAAGAAAAATGCAAACTCGTTAGTGGGAAGAAGTCAGATTACTAGAACCCAAAGTGCTTTCAGTGGCAAGCTGAAGATAGAGTTGTTTCAGCGTCTGAAACAATAAATCATTAAATAGCACGAACGTCTGTCAGGCTGGGTTCTGAAAAGTGCTGTTTAGAATTGCAAGGCAAACGGACCAAACTTTGCATTTTTAGTCCACGTTTATCAGGCACCATGTTTCCAGCCGAAAGGTAATGCGAGAAAAATGGCAACCCAGTAGACAGCAGAACATTCCTGCATAGGCTATATAGTAAGAAAATTGCATTCACGCTCATTTAGCTGTCAAAACACCAGCGCTGGTTTCAGCACCTCGGACAGCAATCCTGTAATGCAAAGGGAGTTCGCTTCCGGTGCTTTCTGTGAATTAGCACTTTGAAGGGCAGGCGACGATTATACCTCACGCCTCTCCCTTAGAGGGTTTTGTACGTACATGCAAACTGCCTGCAAGGTTTTTTGCTTCAGCTTTAAGATCCACTCAAATAATTCAACTAACTATTGGGAGCGAAGCCGGAAGGCAAGGATCCATCAGGACCATAATTATTTCAGGCTGCTGCTAGAGCTGGAGGGAAGGGGACCAGTGGCACACGCTGAGCTCTCTCTCACAGAGGTGGCTTACAAAAGCACGCAGAGCCTTGAAGTCAATGCAAAACCAGCAAAAACATGGTTCTTTCTCTCCCTTAGCCCCTTTTCTAACCCGAATCCCCAAAACCTGGGCACATTTACTTGGGCAGAGCTCCAGTGGAAACAGAGCTCAGAGCCTGTTTCTTGGCAGATAAAAGGTTTTGTGTTTGAAATCAGTTCTTTGTCAAGGCGGATAGATATGGAACTTCGATCTGAATGTAAGGTGCTCTTATGCCTTAAAGATCATTTTACATCCTTCTCCTAAAGGGTGGTTCAATAACACACCGAATTTGCTTAGCTTCTTTTAATCCTGCAGTTTCATGCAAAACATAACACCCTGCCCGTATTACAAGTATCGAAGGCAACCCCCTTCATCAACAAGGGGAGTATTTATGTGCTACCAGATTCTGTGCCACAGCCAGGAATCCGAACTTTTTAATCGGGCAGAGGCTTTGTCAAAACCAAATTAGGGAACAGCGGTTTATCTAGCTGGCAAACACAAATTTGTGGGCCCCAGTGTAGATTAGTCAGGAACGTTATTTTATAATTTAAAACACATGTAAAATAAATCCGAGTTGCATCAAAGTGATTTAAAAAAAATGGGTTACAAGGGCGCAGCAGTCTATTTATTTTGACTCAGTAGGGCAGAGGGGAAAAACCCCGGACAAACAATAGTAGTGAAGACAGCCTTTGTTACAAGGGAAAAAAATGTTTTAAGAAAAATTCCTGCAGATGGCGCTATTTCTCAGTTTCAGCTTTTGAACAAAAGTAACCTTAATGGAGATGGGCCTATAGTGAACGCAATAATATATAGCTACATTTCCAGCGTTTATTTCACTCTGTGTAGTGTCATCTGAATTAGTGTGCAGTTCAAGGGGGCCGAGCCATCAACTCCTGTGGCTTCAAGGGCAGGCGAGGGTGATCTACACCGTGCAGAATCCATCCTTACTTTAAGGGGCCTGGAGTCTCATTTTACACCCATTGGAGAGTATGGGCAAGACACCCACCGAAGGAAGTGGGAACAGTATTAGGCCCTTAACATTTTCCCAACGTAAGTCCCTGCATTGGGTTTAAACCTTCAGAAACATGGTAAATATTTAGACTTTTAAAACACAAAAGGTTCCTAAGC